TCAGTGAATGGTAATACCAAAAAATTGTGTTGTAATAAAAGGCAAGATTTTCAATTCAAACCTCCCTAATGATTTGTTAACAGATAAACACTGTCAATTCCATATGTAATGTTACATTTGTATGTACAAGGAACGAGTACCAAATGAGTGAAATGAATAATTATGTACACATTGACTTTCAAACGTTATCTGTACAAATGTGCACATGATGGTTGTAATGCTGGAGGTCATGCTCCGGTCACATTGAAGTCAACTAAGTTGAATGCTCTCTCATGGCATCACTGTCTTCCCACATTAGCCTTTCACAGCGAAAGATGAAATATTTCACTCTACAATAACTGTGACGTTCCCCTGAAGGATCACATAGCAAACCAAACTAATCTTCCATCAACAGTCTAATGTTCTTGATCATTCCCTGGGTGAAGCATGACTTGCTCTTATCAACTGGAAGGTCACATTGGTGATGAAAGGAAAGAGAAAAGTACAGAGACACTAATGTGAGTGGTTAAGTGCAGACTCAGTGATAGGGTAGCAGTAATGGGTTTGCAATTCTGTGGGGAAGCTTTTCTGCTGATTTCTTGCAGAGTCAAGATGATGTCGAGTGACTACATGTATGTAACGCATTCAAAATGTGAAAACAGACTTTACAGCATGTATTCACTGTTTTGTTGTAGTCTTTGTGTTGCTGGTGATAAAGTGACTGCCTATTGCATTGTAAATTGCAATTCCATTGCACTCTTATCACCAACATTGGCTGATTAGTTGTAGTTATTTTGCTGTGGTTGGACAGTGCCATAAGGGGAGATTGCAAAGTTGAACAGACAGTACATTTTGTAACTCCAGGTTCACATGGAGGTTATATAAGGTTTTACAGGGCATCTCATGTTCAGTTTTGCATTTTTCCCTAACTGGGGTCCCATTTGTAGGAGGGTATTTGGGCCTTACATTCTGGAGGGGGCACACAATGAGTTTCACTACAGTTTCAAACACCTCCCAATTCTGGGTGGGGGCACAGTCCTCGAGCAGAAAGGGGGGGGGGCTCTTGCCCCCCATGTAGTTCCCAGGCCTACTTTTACGCCTGACATCCCATTATCAATGCCCCACTCGCTTGGTGTGATAAGATCAAGAAGATTGGGAATTTATTAGAAAAGAAAAGTGTTGTGTTCCCAGGGGTATGATGAAATCCTCAATATTAGCCGATTACAAAGCTTCCCAGACCATCCTATTACTCTTACAAAATGTCATTGGAGGCACGCAACCCTGGGCACCCCCCCCCCCCTCCCCTTACCAATGTTCACCAGTGACGTCCACTCACGCTGATATTGCTCAGGTTGGGTTTTTCTAGACCCTGGGCAGTCCAGGGGCCTACCAACCATCTGATTGCAATTTAACAGACAGCGCTTTGTACTTCACTTGATTAGCAAAGCTTCAGCTCTTTAATATCGGGACCCATTACCCTTGAATAGTGGCTAATTCTACCGCATTGGCGTAATCTGCCCGTGGGACTGACGTCATTCCGTGACGCAGTCTGCTTCAGTTTAGCTAACCTACTTTTAGGGAGAATTCTTGTAACCTTGGTTTTTAAGAGTGATTACTTGAGAGTGCCTAGAGAGCTCATCACAACAGTTTGGACAGGGGCTCATTAAAAAACAAACCATTGATGAGCTGGAGTGACTTAAGTTGGTAAGAATATGAAAACAATTACAAATCTTGGCAACTTGCTGTCTATAAAGTGAAAGCTTGCAAAGAATGCCTGAAAATAAATTTGAAGAATGCAGAGATGAAATGAACAGACTGAAAAGATGAAAACAATTGACTGAAACTGGAGCAGACTTTGCTAAGCTGAAACATATTTCATGACATTCTTATACCGGTACTTACAGAATATACACATGTATGTCTCCGTGAAATGAATACAGACTGTAAAATGTGCTGAGGTTTAGCAGGGCCTTAAAATTGTATTTGAGCAGTCTCCCCTGTGAGTATTGTGATATCAGGTTGTACCAGTACATGTACCGGTAGTTTCAGTCATTTTTTTTAGAGAGTTTTTAACCTACAATGTGTACATACCGGTATGTATGCATTTGGGATACTGCGTTTCTGTTTCGCCACTTTTTGACCTGGGATTGTTCAGTACCATCCAAGTATGTACACACAATACATCATAGCCATTGTTAATTATTGAAGCGAGTAGACATTCATTTTGATGAAATTGGAGTCATGCTGCACTTTTTAAGGTCTTGGTCGATGCAAGTGGTAATGCCCTCATGGCTGTGGTAATGCCCTCATTAATTGTTCATTTAACACATTAGCTTTATGATTTAACATGGGTGAATGCATCATTTGTGTGCATTTTGCAGCCTATTACTCAGTTAATCAACACACCTACCTGCATGTAAAGGCTTTTTACATAGAGGGTTATTCTCACAATATTAAAGTGATTGAAATTGTATGAAGTCTTTCTGTTCAGTGCATTTTAATTGAGCTGAAGGCAACACCTCATATCTGTTCATATTGTTTTATGTTATGTGTTGTAGAGGTGACCTTTATCCTTGGTACTTCTTTGGGCTGTGTAGCTCAGGAGTGCTTGTGAGGTGCTTGCGAGGTGCTTGCGAAGTCTTTGCAAGGTGCTGTCAAGGTGCTTGCAAGGTGCTTGCTAGGTGCTTGCTAGATGCTTGCAATATGCTTGTGAAGTGCTTGTGAAGTGCTTGCGAGCTGCTTGGGAGGTGCTTGCAATATTCTTGCGAAGTGCTTGGGAGGTGCTTGTTTGGTGCTTGCAAGGTGCTTGTTACCGGTATGTGCTTGCGAGGTGCTTGTTAGGTGCTTGCGAGGTGCTTGTTAGGTGCTTGCTAGGTGCTTGCTAGGTACTTGTTAGGTGTTTGCGAGGTCTTTATAAGGTGCTTGCAAGGTGCTGCCTGGATGAAGTCTTCACTTGGGTTGACACTGTCTCTATTCAAAACCTTTGTCTTAACACGTTCATAATTTACAATGTACAGATATATTTTGTGTGTGCATGATTACTGAAAATTGTAAGAACTCCCCCTCCTGAAAAGCCCTATGTTCTATTGATGGCCAAGCATAGATTAAGATTACCGGTATTTGTTGCTAAGCACTGTAGTACCTGGAGTATAAGACAACTATTGAAATGCCTTTAATTTAAGAGAAACAAATACAATACAAGATTTGCTCCTGCTCCTCTGTCCCAAAGATTGTGTCCCTGTTATTGTTCAAAAAAATAACAAAATCCTAAAATTCTAAAGGTCACTTGTCAGTCTTGCTTTCTTTAAACAAACAGACTAAGACTAATTCATTTGTGTTCTGAGAATTCATCCAGCTACTCAGCAGCGATTTGTGTCTTACAATAAATTAGCCATGGGAGTGTTTGGTTAAGGCTGTGGTTTGACGTCATTGGAGGTATTGGGGGTCCTAGATGGATCTATGGGTTTATGATTGAACGTGGCCCTACACCAGGGATGAGATGATAAATGGACTGACCTGGGAATCTGGGTGGAGTGGAGGTCTTGTCAGGTGGAATTACTGGATGGATCATTAGTCTAACCTTCATCATTGGAGGGGGGAGGGTGAGATAGGGAGGGGGTAAGATGAAGCTAAGCTAATGTGAAGGCTGTGTGGTATACGGAGGACCATTAGAAGACACTTGGTGGCAGCATGCTGGTATTTCTATCCGCTTCATGCATCAGGGCTTTGTTGAGGGCTTTAATGGCTCTGTCTGTAAGAGCTTTAGACCATGTCACCTATGACATCATGCTGACAGGCAACAGACAGACAAAACAAACATCCCAGCATCTTTCTTATTTTATCTTTCTCTCAAGCAGTGAACATCAAGACACTCAAGAGATACACAAAAAAAGGAACAGTTTGGTGCAAAAGTCAAATCATCCAATTAATGTTATTGTTTGTTTCTTTTGTTTTTGTTAGTGATTTGGTCATTTTCAGTTCTCTTTTATGTCTTTATTATTTTATCATTTGAGAAAAGTGCAGTCAAGCCTGAATATTTTCACTGACAACCTTTAAATCGGACCTGTACAAAATAACGAATCACTAATCTGAGTCGGTGGCATCGTTCTGTGGTTTTGGAAAATGTGACCTCATTAATAAAATAAAATAAGACGTACCATAGTAGTCTGGCAAATGTTTAATATCAGCAACAACAGTGATCAATCTTTAGACCATAAAAATCCAGGTACCCGGTGCCGGTACATGCACTTTTGAACCAAACACAGACCATTGCATGATGCTTGTCCGGCTGGGAATTTGATCTCAGTTGAGTAGGCAATGAAAGATTCTGACCTTAGCGTGAACTTGAAGACAGGGAGCTTGGGCTGTGATGACTGATGAGGACATTTGGGATGTTAGAAAGTAATCTGTGATTGATGAGGTCTGTTTGTCTGTCTCTCTGCATGTCTGCCCTGGGCCTTTCACTAAGAGCAGATGTGTTATGGTGAATGGTGAATGTTAGTGTTAATGATTGGCCTATCACAAACCAAATGATCAAAATTTCAGTGGATGAAGAGAGTTCCATAAATGCAGGCGTAGATTGGTGATTGATATCATACAACAAATTATATATTATAACATGTACAAATGAAGCCATTCTCCAAAACCAGGGCCAAGTTCAGGCAAGGACCATTAGTGGACTAGTGGTTGATTTGTGACATACATGTAATCAGCCTGCGCACTAATAGCAACGTGCGAACGTCTCTAGTCAAATGCTGGCAAAATGTCATCGCAAAACATCTGGATCCTAGCTCCCTGCTGTACGTTATGAATGCACCCGGCTATCGGTTACCAGCAGTGTGACCAGCCGAGTAGGCTGGTTCCAAATAGTTGACTGGCGTAGTCAACCACCGTCGACTAGACAGAGTTCGGGCTAACTTTAGTCGAACTATGGTTAACCAATGGTCAACAATACTGTTAGTTCTTGCGTGAACTTGCCCCAGGCTATAAACCAATCCGGGCACGCCATTAATTCTATCACAATGGCCCACTTCAATGGCGAAAGCATTGTGAAAGCTCTTGCTCAAGTAATCCGTCATAGGGCAGTAGCTTTGCACAATAGCGTAAGCCATACCTTTGTACATCGAAGGGGGCCTCGTGTGAACAATGTACATTTGTACGTATGTGTGCACAATCATTCCAAATTTGATTATCATTTGGGCGATTCCATGGTAACTCGCGTTATATTCACAGAAGGATCGTCCTATCAAGTGCTGCTATTCTATAAAGTCTAAGCGTTTTGGGTGGATTTTTCTCACAGAAGATCCCTTGACATTATTAAGTGACTAAATGACAAAAAAGGCTAACAAAACAAAGTCATGTTGGTTTGGCAATAAGGCTTTTATCAGTAACTCACATTACACAAAAAGGATACGGCAAAAGTGTATATACCTTGCTTTTGAAAGTTTCCTCAAACTGCACTGATGGACAAATCTTTTTAGTGCCCTACATCATTAGGGTGTACAATGTAAGTCATTCTGCCATTACAATCATTAAAACATAATCAATCATAAAATCTCAAGGGGATATGTTTCGGTAACTCATGTTACAGTTTGTCCACCGACCTTTGGTGCACGTTAAAACTATAAGAAACTGATCAACAAAAAAACTCTTTTGGCACGAAATATGAACCGTTTTGTTTTCCTTAATAACAAAAACTCATAACAATACACTTGCATTTTGCATGTACATGTAACAACAAGGTATCAAAATGACTGCCTAAAATCCATAATTTTAGCCAATATACAAGTTTTATTAACAAAAAAATACATGAAACCATATTCCATCTTACTGCCACATCACTCAAAGTTCTTCTAGTGCTCTTTAGTTTAATTTGATACCACATTTGAGATTGTGATGGTTGTCCTGTTGAGGATTTCATAAATTTTTCACTTTCAGGCGTGTTCACTTTCCCATGCCCACTTTCCCACACACTTTCCCACACATGAATGTGTTGTTAAAGATGTGCACATAACAGACAGTACATGTATGTGTGTACATGTCAGTTTGGTATTACATTATACAAGAGCAAGTGGAACACAGAATAATGTACATGTAGTGCATCTGTGTCCCATATGCCACAAGGCTGAAAATCGAGTGGTATGTTGGACGCAGACGAACTACATTATTCCATGTTCCACAAGCACGAGTGGAACAACGAATTTATCTTCAAGCAAACTTGACGCAGAGTTATAAATGGATTGCGCACTGTGCGCTGTAAAATGTACATTGTACAGTGGTTTCCTATCACAAGTGTGTGCAGCAAGAATGGCGCGCATCTTAGAATAGTGCAATACGGGGAGGGAGGTATGGACCAGCTTCATGGGATAATGTAGCATGGTTTGTTGCCATAGATCAACCAATCAGCGTCGTGGATTCAAGCATTCTTGAAGATAATTACACACATCAGGTGTCATGGCTGTTACAAATACATCAATTTTATCTAAACAAATTTACTTGACTCAAGTTTGATCCTTATTGCATGACTCTCCTAGAAATAATATCAAATTTAGAAAAAAAGTGGTCGATGTTTTCTTGTAGAAAAATATCTTCGTTGAGAATATCATTTCAGAGCCTTGTAACGCCTATTTCATCCTGGCATGCCTGCTATCTAAATATGGTGACAGTCTCCCACAAAATGAGGATAAAGCTTCCAAAATCATGATTTACAAATTTTTGTCTTATTGGAGAGAGTACAAAAAGAGCTTTCAAATGGTATGTGAAAGTAATTGTTTCACTTTACTGCAGGTCTTACAAATCCTAGAGAAATAGGGCAGGTTTTAGGAATTCAGTTGAGAGAATTTTGTATTAGGGTTCAATTTACCTACAGACGTGCCCAGGTGACTTGATCCTCATTTTGTCAAAGCACACACACTGATATCCGATAATGCCACCCTGCCATAGGGTTTCAGGGTGTGAGGAGGTTTGTAGTGCTGGCTCATGCTTGATGGAAATGCGTGGGCGTCTAGCGAGTGGGTGTATTGACGCTGTCTGAGGGAGAAAGGGAAGAAAGGCAAATAGGAGACAGAGAGGGGAAAATAGAAGGGTTGGGATTTTATTGAAACCTGTCTGGCTGTTTCATCTCAAGATTACACACGTACCGGTAGGTATGGCGATACAAGTACATGTATGGCTTTGCAGGTTTGATATTTGACAGCAACTGATCTGTAGTTTTGATAGTAGGTATTTTTGGGATGGGTTGCCGATGGAATATAGAACGAGTGTGTTCAACATGAAGAGGTATTGGTGCGTTTGACTAGATGGCTGAAGATGGGCATGTGTAAGTACTGCATTCTATGTACTGTGTGCTATGGTTGTAGCCTAGGCTCTCAATGCACTGTGGTTGTACGCTGCATGTGGAGGAGACCATGGGATATATATTGCTTACATGTAGTTATCTTTAGATGGTAACTGGCAGTACTTGTACATATGTAGATATAAATTGTTATGCTACACTTGTACATAGCATATATGTAACAGTAGACATACAGTATACATGTACATGTAAAAAATGTACTCTATGTTTCTCCGTCATTTCATTTAATATCTGGATGTATTGACTGGCACATTCACCACTGAAATCAGGATGACTAGTGATTTTTCATAATGGATACTTGGCCTGCTATAATAATGTAACAATATGCCTGCCATTGTCATATGTAAAGAGTTTGTGACGTGTTGAATGAATGTTTAAGTTTATTTCATATAATTGAAAATGCAATGAAAATACTCAAATAAAAGCACTGGATCGATACAAATCTGTGTATTGTTGTTTTTCTTTGTGTCCTGTTAAAGAAAAGCTACATGTATACATGTATTGTACAGATATTGTGTCAAATACTAGCATGTACATGAAGTTTGTGGCTCCATTTTCTAAAGTCAGGTTTTATTTTTAAAATAAAGTCCATTAATATTTTTCACAACACTGTTTTTTTTAAACTAACCATGAAACCACAACTATACAAAAATGTTCAAACATAATGCTAACACCTGCCTTGATGAAATTACCAAACGGTAATAAAATTGCTACTTTCTAAGTGCCCAGGTACCAGTTAAAGACAAATATCAAGTAAACCTTGATACAGAGAGCCTCAGTCATTCCTTTTATCAGGCATCCCACTTAACTTTTCCTTTTTTCTCACTTCACCCTCATGCCATTCCAAAAAATAAAACCTAAAAAATGTGTATACATAAAGTCCTGTTCAGTTTGGATTTTTCTCTCTTTTTTCTTTCTTGGGGGGGGGGGGTACTTTCTTGTAGCATGCCTTTTTTGGAAGTGGATTGATAAAATGGTCTTCCATATTCCACAATAGCTTAGCACTAAAGGTTCCAGCTTAGAATATAATGCTGCTTTATGGAATTAAAATGTTGTCACTGTTCTGTACCTCTCCACCATTAACTTTGTTTTAAACAATTAAAACCCTTGACAACAATTCTCCCTCCCTGGCTAGTAAATTCAACAGAGCCATTTCTGCAGTGTAGTTTAGTGTTTCCTGCCTACATTGTGTATAAAGCAGAATTGACTGGCTGTGACTGTCTATGTAACTTGATTCAGCCTCCCCTTGACTTTAGGAGATTGATAAGCCAGCTGAACCTGTACCAGTTACTTGCTTTTGTCTGTTGATGGAATTTGACCAGTCACAGTGCCTACAAGAAATATTATCTGACTGTCTGTTAATAGCCCATTTACATGTACATAGTTATGGGAGGGGAAGTGGATGGAATATCTGACTGTCTGTGGCTGATTAAACAGTAGGAGGGTTATTAAGTTCCTGGAGTATCATCATTATCTGTCATCTTGAAATTATTGTGTCATTTTCTCCTAGAAGCATTCTATAAACTTGTGTCTAACCTCTTGATGGTTAAAACCATTTCAGATGGGCGTTCTAGAGTCACGCCATGTTATTCCTAACATGAAAATGAAGTTTGACATTTGAAACAATGAGGAGCAACTGCAAATGAATGATCAACTGTGGCAGTCATTCAGAATGACTCTGAGTCTAGTCAATGGACAATTAATACATAAAGTCACCCGTCTGAACTCTTATTTGGGTCAACCTGAGTTGCTTCTTACTTGAACCAGTTTCACTTTCCTGCGGGTTACACAATCAGTTAGCGACACCCAAGATTGTCTCATTCCGTCTCCTGTGACTGTAGCTTTTTTGTTCATGTCTTTTCTCTTTTTGTCATTGTAGAAGCTTCAGCTGGTTCGTAAGGTGGCCCTTCGACTTCTTCAAGTCCTGGGATTCTTACGACAGGAAAATGTCATTCATGCTGACCTCAAGCCTGAGAATATACTGTGCCGAACAGGTAAGTTGCTCTATACTTTGTAACACGTTTCTTGTAACGATGATGATTGTTCCCATAGGGAAAGCATATATTAATCAACACCAGTGTTTAAATAACCAACTCACAATGTAACCAATTTCAATAACTTTAGCTTCATCTACTACATGCACACTCCATCAAAGTCACAAAGAAAAGTGGTTGTTCCCCCCCCCCTTACTTTTAGAGAAAACGTTTCTGGTTGTTGACTGCCATTTTTCTGTGAGTTTGTTGCCCCTTCAACCTTTTTGAACTACATGTAAAAGGTTTTTCCTTAAATAGTCTTCAATTGACAGCCAGTATTGCTGTCCATTTGATTGAAGTGTCTGCCTTATATAGTTTAAGTCACTTGTTGACATCCAAATCTGAGAAATACTTACCACACATATTCAAGTGTTTGCCATTGTTCTAAATCCCCCCACAAATCCTAGATCCCTGTGCTAAGTGACTTGTATTTTTAGCTGACCTAGGAATGGGAAGCAAAATCTGTTTGAAAAGGGAATTCATGAAGTGAAAGATCAGACAAAAGTATATATTCAGTAAGTAGCGGATTTGGTCCTAAAGCATTATGTGAAGCAGGGTTAGTGATGGATTTTGGCTGAATTGGTCCAGTACTTAGTAAAAGACACTAGGGAGTTAGGGTTAAAGGGAATGGACATCATTGGCTTTTGCTGTAATTTTCAGAAATGAACTATTTGAGGGGTTAGTATAATAGATCAAATATTGTTACACTGACATGTTTGAAGTTTTGTGTTCGAAAATGCTGGAAAAACCAAGGAAAACACAAATGTTCAAGTAGTCTGGTTCCCTGACTCCACTAAAGATGAAACGGCGGAAAATTGTAAGGGAACCAGTCTAGCTGGCCTGTACCCGTTCATGAACATACCAATAGTAAACAGAATGTAGACTGAAAAACAAATGGTAAATTTGGAGCAATAGTTGAAAAATAGTTAGGTTTTTCCAATGGTGGTTGGCCGACCACCGTTGGAAATTTATACAAAAATACAACTTTTCTTGAAAATGACTTCACACCAGGTGCCATAATTTTACAGGATGCTTTAGACTGGCATTTACCAACATCCTAGTAAGGTATTTCGTAAAAATTTGGTAGTTTTGTTTTGCGATGTTTGCAAATGTTGTATATTCCCTTTAAAATCTAGTACATGTACAATGTATCTGGTAAAAAGGAGAAGAAAGGAGCTGGTTTGATACATGTACACACAGTACATGTATGTACTTACACTATACCTCTTTGTTAATTACATTGTACTTGAACTGGGGCATATGGTGGCTGAAAGTACCGGTAGCTAATAATATATGCATTCACATCTCAGTTTGTTCATATAGAGCATGTGATTGGTGCAAAGTCTGTAAGGGAGACTTGTATCCAATCACAATGCCTCTGCTGTAGTATTAGTATACAGTAACTGTTAAAGAGTGTTGCCCCTCACTGATGTAATTTCAGCAAGTACACTAGCAGTGCTTTCTGGGTGCTTGTAAGACAAAACTGCACAAGTGCACTCTTCATTAGGGCCAGACACGCATGCATGATATTAAAGTTTATGAATATTTATAAGTGAAAATTAGATGTCACTCTTAAGGCAAGATGGAGTACATGTACATGTCGTTCCTTCTGACCTTTTTCCTCAAGGCAGTGTAGCAGTCTCTAAAGGCATACTGTCACCAGACTTAAAACATAGCAAGTTACACATACTTAAGGATTTGGTTTCGCAAACAGATTACTGAGTGAGCTTTAAAGTTGCCATTCATTCGAACAATGAATAAAAAAGGACTTGGCATGTTATATGCTGCTTACAGTATTTGTTGTTTTTGTGACTCGCAGGTACAGTTTGACGAGAAAAGCAAAACAAAACAAACTTATAAGTTAAACAAATCAAGTCTCAACACATGTAGCAATTTTTTTTTACATAAAGGCTTACATGGATACATTGATTACCCTGAATTGTGCTGCACAAACATGCAATAAAAAAGGCAATGACAGACATCTTGCAAGTTTGACGTCCTCCAAAGTTTTCACAAGTTTGTATGTTACTGGGTAATTAAAAGTCAGGTTGGGGTACTGCACTTGTTTATGCCTGTCAGCACTACATGTAGGGGTGTTCTACCTCCATGGTGCGAGGAACTGCACGTAGTCCCTAGAGTTAGAGATATTACAATACAATGGAGTTATTAGCAGATTGTCATCTCATTAGTAGAGTGTGAAGTCAAGGGTGACCATCATATAAACATTAGAATTGTCTATGTCTCTGTCTTGATCAAATGACAGATGACAAATAGACCTAATACACTGCAGGTGTCTCAGAGGGCGTTCTTTGTTTGTAATTTTGTAATTTAGTAACATGAATGCACAAAAGGTTTCATCATGCCTATCCAGGCGATACAAAGCCATTGTCCTCTAACTCAACCTTAAGGTCTATTGTGAAAGACAATTCCAAACTTTTCAACTTTTGAATAATTCACGGTAGACAAGTAAGAGTGACATACTGAATTAGACAGGCTAAATTGAGCGCATTGACACTACATGAGATTGGTTTATTACACGTCTTTGTGTGGATTGCTTGAACGTGGACCTCTCTCACAAAGAGAGGACCTAGGGGGACTACTACATTTCTGAAAGCATTGCCATTGAATGTCATGCACTTGTGCCAAGATGCTACAAATTTGTGACAATTCAGATGAAGATCAATCCTGTGTATACATGTACAGCATTTATGAGCTTGAATGCTGTGCATGCACACAGTGTGTCACACACACAAAGCTCTCATGAATGATTCAAGGCATGCATGTAGGAACTTTTGCAATTACCCGGAAACGTATTGGACGCGTTCGTTTAGATCACCCGGGTCAACATGGGTTAGCCCTGTGCCGTTTAGTTAGCTCTGATGTCATTCTTGGGGGTCACTCTGGTCAGCCACCACAGACCCTGCTTGTGGAGCAGAGCCAGTGGTGGAAATTATGTCACACGCATGCATTGTTCATTCCAAGAAACACACAAATATGGCGGCCGGACAGCAGAAATCTCAAGTGGACTTAAAAAGTAACATTATTTGAAGTCAATAATGAAAGGTTTGCGGAAACACCATGTGGGATTAATTTCTCAACTAAGAGAATGGTTCTGAAAAGAACCAGAGGTATAAACTCGACGTTCCGGTCAGTATGCTCTGACCGTCTTCAGGAGAATGAGCTTGAATGCTGTGCATGCACACAGTGTGTCACACACACAAAGCTCTCCTGAAGATGGTCAGAGCATACTGACCGGAACGTCGAGTTTATACCTCTGGTTCTTTTCAGAACCATTCTCTTAGTTGAGAAATTATTCCCACATGGTGTTTCCGCAAACCTTTCATTATTTATTATCTCCACCATGCAAAGCCTCAAATCTTAATTATTTGAAGTCTGAAGGTAATCATTTATTGAGTTCATTGCGACTTTTGAGGCTATAGACCTAATTCCAACCCAACTTTTTTGAGTTTTGTAATTGACTGAAAAATCAATCCGAAAAGGGCATTTTTGTCAGTGGCTATGGCCATGACGGCCGTTGCTGTTGACGTTACGTGAGGGTCGTGATGGCCCGTGGGTGAGCGTTGGATTAGCCCGGCTGTTGTGGCTAACCTGTCTGCCTTTACCCGATTCGATCCAGGTGAGCTAAACGAACGCACAAAAAGTATGTCCACTGTGCTGAAACTTCAACAAGTTAGTTGTTATGCTCCCTTCTTAAGATTTTGAGTAATTTTGTTGCTTCAAATGAAAAAAAATGCACAAAATGCAAATAATCCTTAGACATGTACATGTACACGTACCTTTAAGAAGCGCCCTCTATTGTCCATCCATTGACTTCTTATTGTGTTGACAATTAACTACCGCATCTACAATTATACTCCGCTGTTATGCAGCTTGCTGCCTTTCTCAGCTGTTCATATGTTGCTGCATTTTGCCAAGTAACAGTACTGTGTACAAACAGGATTGGAGGGGGTTTGTAGCTCACATGATTACATTCCAGATAATATATTACATAGTAATTCCATCACTTATTGATAATAATGTGAGTTGGTCCTTTAGGTGATTGGAATGGAGCATCACATAGAAAAGGCCATTTAAAAAAAAAGATCAGCAACTTGCTTCAACCCATTTATCCCTGTACCCCCGCCCCCCACCCCTTGCCCAACCCCACATCACCCTGCCTGATTCTCCATGCAATGTAGTACTGGCCAAAGCCACCTGAGTACTGTTTTGATGAATTTCAGCATCAGGGAATAAATACAATGTTATGCAACGTAGTACTGGTACATGTGCTAATGGGTTCATCTTAACAGTTAGTCTATCAATGGCAAATTCAAGACATTTTCCCCTTCAACCGAAATTTGACTTGAACCTGTACATAATAAAATAAATGCACTGGTAATCCGGCCAATGTATTGTCTGTCAGTCTTTAGTAGTCCCCAGTCCAAACTAATTCAGACCAGCTTACCTGTAGGCTAAAAGAGTTCTAATCTTCTTTAAGATCACTTTGATTGACTGTTCCTTGAGTCTGTCAAGTCTTGTCCACTATCTGTTTGTCCTGAAGACATCTTCTGTCTTACCTCTTACCTAAAGACACCTAACGACACAGCCTGACCTGCAACCATCTAGGGAGTAAGCTGTACTTTTCTTGCCAGCGGCTATTTTTAAAGTCACTGCACTTTTTCTTCCCTTTAAAGGACATCCTGAGTTGCGCCAATAATAATCTGAACGCTTTTTCAAATTGCATTTCACAATTACCAATAAATCTTGACTCTTTGTGTTGCTCAACGGTTGGGCAACAAACCAGATCTGATGAGCAAGTCTGTCCGTAATTGCTGAAAACATTTGAAATTGGCCCATTAATGTCGGGCAAGAAGAGACAAAAACACAAACCCACTATAGTGTCTCTGTACTTTCAAGATGTTTAGCCTGCGTACTTTGGAGGTCATTGTACTTTTTGATGA